CAGCTGCTTGTGGTAGATCCCACCATGGAGTTGATTGGCAGTCTCATCATGGGGAATAACTACCACCAGCTGCCCAGCCACTCAACCAGGCCCAGTCACGTTGACATGTAAACATAACCACCACACCATCTCTGTAAGGAATAGAGTCCCTGGGTGGTGCAAATGGTTAATGCTTAGCTGCTAACTGAAAGGTTGGAGGTTTAAGCCCATCCAGAGGCACCTCAAAAGAAAGGCCTGGTGATCTACTTCCAAACAATTAGCCCTTGAAGACTCTATGGAGTGCAAGTCTACTCTGACACACGCGAGGTCACCATGAGTTGGAACTGAATTTTTCTGGTAAGGAATAAAGGCAACAGAAGTAGATTTTTCTGACTCATGAACTCATTGCATATTGATTGCCAACTGCTATCCTTGTGGTTACAAATCATGCTCACAGTAGTCAGATAAGTACAATTGGAATCAATTCAGAAAATATTTTCATGGATGGTGAGGTTAGATGTGCAGAAGGTAGAGACAAAGTGTAAGGCATTTGGGATTCTGTGGAGCTCACTGTGAACAGAGCTAGGCCTCACTGAGGCCAGGCTTCCCAAGGGGATTCTCATCATGTCTCCTCTGTATTTCTCCTCGTGTAGACTGTCATGTCACACAGCTTTTATCCCCCCTTGATGCAACGTACATCATGGACTCTGGCTGCCCCCTTCAAGGAGCAGCATCATTACCGTGGACCCAGCGATTCCATTGCCAACAACTACTCCTTGATGGCCCAGGACCTGAAGCTGAAGAACCTGCTAAAGATCTATCAGACAGTCACCATCAGTGTCCCTAAGGAAAAGAGCCGTCAGGGGTTGCCACCAGGTATTTGGAAGCAGAATAAGATTTCTAATACTGAGTTCTAATTCTGGCTCTACCTCTGCTGTAGCTAACTTTGAATAACCTTGTAGAGTCTTAGTCTTCTCATCTGTGAGATGGGAATGATTATAATGGCTGACATCTATGGACCATCTGTCATATACTGGTATCCCTGAGTTGTGCAAATAGTTAAATACTCGGCTGCTAACTGAAAGGCTGGTAGTTTGTGTCCGCTCAGGGGCATCTTGGAATTAAGGCCTGGTATCTACTTCTGAAAAAATCTGCCATTGAAAATCCTATGGAGTCAGGTGGCCCAGCCTTATCTCCTGGCCAGAAAGATTAGAAAGTGAACAATTTTGAAAACGTGAGTGTAATGGATTGTATCCCCCTCACTATAAAATACTGAAGATTCCTTTCTGACTTTGCAATTTGTTTAGCAGATTTCCTGTGATGCATTACATTCAGAATTAATGCTTATCAAATAATAAAACTTTTTTCCCTCTTCTAAAAAAAGAAAAGAAAACCGTATGGACCACAATTCTGTTCTGACATGCATGGGTTTGCCATGAGTTGTAATTGACTCACTGGCAACTGGTTAACTGGTTTATCATGTAGCAGACCTGTTCTATGTACTTGTGTTATCTATTGCTGTGTAACAAATTATCCCTAAATTTAGTGGCTTAAAACAACAAACCTTTATTGTCTCACAGTTTTTGTGGTTAGGATGTGGCCCATAGGCATCACTTAGCTGTGTGCTTCTGACTCAAGGATCTCTTAAATCAAGTTATAAGCCAGGGCTGCAGTCATCTGAAGGCTTATCAGGGGAAGGAGCCACTTCCAAGCTCACTCGTATGGCTCTTGGCAGGCTTCAAGTTCATTGGCTGTTGACTGGAGACATCAGTTCCTTGCCACATGGGTCTCTCCATGCTCATGACATGGCTTCTGGCTTCCCTCAGAGCAAACACATGAGAGAGGGAGAGCACCAAGATGGAAACCAAAGTCTTTTTAGAACTTAACCTCAACAGTGACATCCCGTCAGTTTTGCCATATTCTGCTCATTACAATCAAGTCACTAAGTCCAGCCCACATTCAAGGGGAGGGGATTACACAAAGGCTTGAGTACCAGGAGGTGAGGACCTTTGGGGGCCATTTTGGTGGTTGCCAACCACACTGCCATATAGTTATTAACTTATGTAATCTCATCAGCAGTTTTGTCACTAAAAGGGTACAGGGCATATAGACTGCACTGAGTGACACTGTCAGATAGCGTGATAGCAAAATGACTCTATGAAATTTTTGTGCAGTGTTTCAGGAGAAAATTATATTTTTTGGAAAATATTCCTGTAGTTAGTTGTAACAACTAAAAGATTTTTTGGAAGTCCAGCCTGCATGTATCAATATACCTACAAGGTTAAAACTCTGTGCTAATTTATGTTAGTAATGCTCTCTGTTCATAGCTGTCAGTATTACCTAATTATAATGATGCTTTAAATCTTGTCTGCTACCCAGCACATACTATTGTTTTCATTGCTGCTGATGTTTCTATAGTCACAGATTTTGTCAAATTTTCTGGTATTTTAGTTTCTGTATTGTAAGTGATATTTTTGAATCTATGTCAATAACTTTTTTGAGAATGAAGTAGTAATTAAAAGGAGAAAAATTTAAAAAGGCTTCTGTTCAGTTATGAATAATGTGTAACTAATTTTGTAACTCAATATAGAAAGATTTTACAAAACAATCTTGTTGTTATTGTTAGTTGTAATTAAGTAGGTTCCAACTCACAGTGACCCTGCGTATGACTGAAACCCTGCCCAGTGTTGTGCCATTCTCATAATTGTTGTTATTCTTGAGCCCATCATTGCAGCCACTGTGTCAGTCCACGTTGTTGAGGGTCTTGTCCTTTTTCACGGGCCTTCTACTTTACCAAGCATGATATCGTCCCTTCTAACAACATGACTAAAATATGTGATAAGTCTTGCCATTCTGTTTTCTAAGGAGCATTTGGCTGTACTTCCTCCAAGACAGATTTGTCTGTTCTTCTAGCAGTCTATGTTACATCCAATATTCTTTGTCAACAGCACAATTCAACGCATCAGTTCTTCTGCCGTCTTCCTTATTCATTGTTTAGCTCTCACATGCATATGATGCTATTGAAAAGACCATGGGTTGGGTCAGGCACACCTCAGTCTTCAAAATGACATCTTTGCTCATAAAGACTTTAAAGAGGTCTTTTGCAACATATTTGCCCAATGCAATACATCATATGATTTCTTTCTTTTTTAAAAATTACATTGTATTTTTGCCATGTTCCCTCCCCTCAAATCCCATTTGATTTCTTGACTGCTGTTTCCATGGGCATTCATTGTGGTTCCAAGTAAAGTGAAGTCCTTGACAACTTCAGTCTTTTCTCCATTTATCATAATGTTGCTTGTTGGTTCAATTTTGAGGACTTTTTTT